CTCACAAGAAGCCATTAAAGAAACTAAATAATATTGTTCTGATTGCATTACATTGCAGTTGCACCTACTGGGCCCCATCGGAGAAAAGGACTTTGCCAGAATAGGTGCTGTATAAACACACAGTGCGAGAGAGCTCTTGTCCTGAAGAACTGACAGTCTAAATAGGCTTTGACAGGCAAAAAATGGAAGAGGACACTGTACGGCCCTAAAGCTCACAACCTCCTCAAGGGTTTATTCCAAATTAGCCAAATTAGTACAGCAACTGCCAACAACAGCTCAGCTGCACACAATGTACACACTAGTAGGGAGCAATCAAAGGTGTAGGTCCATTGTCATGAAAAACCTGCTCATTTTAAGCTGGTAGATCATTTTAAATTAAACTTGGAGCCAGACAGGCTCCCCTGAGAGCACCAAGATGTTTTAAAGCTGCCTTCGCTCATCATCCTCCCCCCTTTCAGGCCTTGTGCAGGAAGAAAACATCAGCCTCCATCCAGTGGTGGTGGGAGAAAATATTATTTGGGGGGCTGGGAGTGCAGGGGGTGGTGCAGGGCCTCCCCTCCCTCCCACAGGGCTGTTGCACAGCTAGCGTGCAACAGGGGTGCTGGGTGCAGTGCTGTGGCAGGGCATGGTGGCAGTGCTGGAGTAGTGGAGCCATGTTGGGGGGGGGAGGGCTAAGCCCCAGTATCCCCTGTCTTCCACTGCCTATGTCTCCATCCCTTCTAGCAGGCACTGGTACACACATTGACCTGCTGGTCACACAAACCTACCATCCATCTCACCCATTTTTCCTCTTCTGTAAGTAGCGCCGGGCTTGATTCAGCCTGTCCTACACCTGTGGAAAAGTACATCACTCTGGCTAGACCCACCAATGACTGCGTGAGCAGAGCTGGCAAAATGCAGCCCAACCACATTTAGTTGCCCTCATCTCAGAGGGACCCCAGGCACATGATGAGCTGTGGGGTAGAGATGGGAAAAAACCCAGACCAGACCCAGTCCACTCTCCCCTTTCAGCCTCTACTCTCTGTGACAAGCCTATTTGATGTACATTGAAAATGGGGGCCAATGCCCACCAAGTAAAGCTGAAAGCCCCTCTTAATATGGGGATACCGGGCACAAGTGATTACAAGGGGCAACTAAAGAAGAAAACAGGAATGGGAGTGAAGGTCACAGGTTCAAAACGAGTGCTCCAGAGTGCACCAGACAGCGCCCGCTGCCCCTCGAACAGGTCCATAGAGCCAGTGGACGCTGCCCAGTGAAACTGCCTGGAGATGTGAGAGGACCAGGGACAGGCCTACTTGTTGCTTTAAGAGATCGTGGGCTGATGTCCACCAAGATCAACTATAAATCTCCCTTAAAAAGGAGGCTACTGAAAAAAAGGAACTAGTTTCTTGGGACAAAGTAAAGGAAAACAGGGAAGGGAGTGAGGTCACAGGTTCAAAGTGAGAGATCCAAAAGGGGACACCGAGCAGAGCACACTGGACATGGCCCACTGCCCCTTGAACACATGCAACGAGCCAGTGGACACTGCCCAGTGAAACTCTGCCTGGAGACAGGATTAGACCAAGGACGGAAAAATGGCCCCACGGTCCCCAGGAGTCTTCCCAGCCAGAGCCTCTGTCCTGGTCAGGTTGCTGGGCTAGGGACGGGCCTGTCTGACACATATCGGGAACATGAACCGTACACGCACAGAGCAACAGTTCCCTCCTGCTGCGAACAAAGCGGGTTACTGGGTGCGTATCAGCTGAATCCATGGGACAAATAAAAGACAAAACAAGGGTGGAAGTGGTTTGAATGGTTTGAAACGAGTGCTCCAGTTAGCTAGGGCCAGGAGAGGGGTGACCAGGACTTTTAACACATCAGGGGAAGTCACGGGCCAGGCCTGGCACCGAACCACCCCTTTAGTGTTGGTGATGCGTTACAGATTTCTTTGGACAGAGTAATGAAAATAGGGACAGGAGTGGAGATTAAAAGCTCATAACAAGCGTGCCGAGCGGAGGACACCAACTGGACAGCCCTCCTGGCCCTTGGATGAGTCCAAGGACCCAGCAGACACTGCCCGTGATCCTCTGCTCGGATACAGGAATAAACAAAGGCAAGGAAAGTGGCCCCGTAGCCCCTCCCGGCCACAGCCTCCTTCCTGGGCAGACACACAGCCAGCTCAGCCAGGGCCAGGAGGAGGTTGTGGCCAGGAGGGTCCCCGGGGCCGCTTTCCTTGCCCTTGTCCATTCCCCTCTCAGAGTAGAGTATCGCTGGGCAGCATCCACTGGCACCTTGGACTTGTTTGAGGGCCAGTGGAGCTGTCCGACGTGCTCTGCTCCATGTCTCTCCTCAGTGGTGGCCTTACAGTTGTTGCAGCGCTGGGCAAGAGAGTCATTTGGGGCCCCTTAGAGGCTTAATTTTGATGACTGTAACAGGTTACTCTTCCCAGCACCATCTTCCTAGTACTCCGCGCCTTGCATACTCCTTCCTAGTACTCCGCCCTTGTACCTTCTTTAGGGTTCTTATGTCCCGCCCTATACTCGCCTGCCATGTCTTGATGGAAATTATGATGATGTTCTTGCGAGCGGGAGGCTGCCTATTGTATTGGGTACGCTGGGGCCTTTCCCCTATGTGAGACTGACCCCTGATTTTCTCTAGCTAGGCCTCCCCATCTAAACCCACTAAACAGGGTTTGACTCCGAGGCTCTAGCCTTTTCTATTGTCTTGAGGCTCGTGGCCCCCTTTCCTGCTCCAATCTGGAGCCTGGCCCAGAGGCTTGGGCACCAGCCCCACAGCTGGAGGGCCGCAAGACCAAAACCAGGGGATGACCCCGAGCCCGCAGCCTCCCAGGCCACGAAAAAAACCCAAACAAACTACCAACATCAAGCTGCACCACAGGCACACCAGAGCTCCCCGGCTTCTTTAAGATTGCACCTCACTGGCGCCGGGGTCTGTGCCCTTCTCCGGGGCTTCTCGCTGCCCCCTCTCCGGGGCTCGGGTTCCTACAATGCCGCGGGTCCCCTATGAGGCCTCCTCCAACCCCTAATAGCCTCACCCAAGCCAACGGTATCAAACAACAAACAAAACACAAGCCCCTGGGCTATAACAGAAATTCAAGTCACCCGGCTATAACAACATTCACCCTACCGAGAAATACTCCATCCCTCCAGTGACAGAAGCTGTTCCTGCAGCCAGGCCTCTCCCCTTTGGTTGTTCTAGGAGAGCTCCTTCCTCTTTGGCAGCCAGGAGGGAACTGCCTCCCTGGCCTCAGTCCTGGTGTTAAATGGGAGCCAGGCCCTCCCCTTCCGGTCAGCTGACTGCTAGCAGGTGTGGGTCACTGGCTGCCTCTGGTCGCCCTAGCAACTGGCACCTGAGTAGCTATTCCGGCTCTCCAGGTAGCAGGCACCTTAGTGCCCTGCTACAATGACCTATAAGCAAGTCAGACATTTGTTGCAAAATTTTGAGCCCCCTAAAGTGTGGGTCCACAGGCAGTTGCCCGGTTTGCCCTCCCCTAAGGCCACCACTGCTCCCTTTGGCACTCTTATTATGACCCTCTGCTCCCCACTCCTGTCCCTGCTTTCACCCTTCTTTGTCCAAAGAAATATGCAACACAACAGCACCAACCCCCACTGCGCAGACCCCTGCCAGCTCAGCCAGGGCCAGGAGGAGGTTGTGGCCAGGAGGGTCCCTTTCCTTGCCCTTGTCCATTCCCCCCACCGGCTCCTTGGACCCATTCACAGGCCAGTGGCGCTGTCCAGCCGGTGCCCCCCTCGGCACTATAGTTATGACCCTCTTCCCCCCAGTCCTGCCCCTACTTTCCCCTTTTGTGCACAGACATCTGCAACCCACCAGCACCACCCACCCCCGCTCCCGCACAGACCCCCGCCAGGGCCAGGATGGTCGCTTTCCTTGCCTTTCTCTTGGAGTAGAGGCAGCATCCCCCGGCCCCTTGGAGCCATTCACAGACCAGAGGCGCTGTCCAGCCATTGCACCCCCTTGGCACTATAGTTATGACCCTCCTCCCCCCAATCCTGTCCCTGCTTTCACCCTTCGTTGTGCACAGAAATCTGCAACCCACCAGCACCACCCACCCCCGCTCCTTGGACTCATTCACAGGCCAGT